GCCAACTTCTGTATTAGGAGACTTCAGATGACTTTCCAGTTCTCTTCATATGCAGGAGACCAGGACTTAAGCCTCACTCTTAGAGTTGCTATTGTCAGGTCTAGACAGTCTAGTTTGCTATCAGACTGAAAAAACAGGCCTCAGATGTAACCTTTTATTTTAGCTAAAAGACAATAAATGTTCACAACAGTCTCACCTATCTCTCATAATAAATAATAGATACAAGACCTAAGGATACAGAAGTTATGAGGATCTAAGAAAATGTTTTAAGTTTGATTAATGCAAGTTATGAAAGTTTGAGGGTCTAAGAAAGTGTTTTAAGGTTGGTAAATGCAAACTTAAAAAACGGTTAAGCCTCCCTTCCATAATGTGTAAGCATATTAAAAGTTAAGATCAAGTGAGCTTTTGCTCTTTCTACCTCACAAAAGGTTTCTGCCTTTCCAGAGCTCACCTTAAAGAGTGTTTATACTGTTAACACAAAGGCGTATGTCTACTGCCTTTTCTACAATGCATATTTCAGTGCATATTACATGTTTAATGTAATATGTCCAATGCTAACATGTCTAAAGTGTTATCTCCTTTGTAAAACTTAAAAGGAATTCTTGTAAGCTGCAGGAAATCCACCCAAATCCACCTCTCAGGTCAGTTGGGCTCCAGATCAGTACTGCACCTATTGTCTATCTCAGTGGGTGGGGTTATTCCCCACCTTTCCCTGGTTTTGGAACTCCTCTTTCCTGGCTACCCAATCATCCACACATCCAACACCAGCAGATTGAGGAGTTCCCTTCCATGGTCGGCATAAACGTTCCCCTTTGTCTGAGAGACTGACCAGTATCTCTCCATTTCACTGAGGAATGGAGGTACCCTTCCTTCTTGTCGACCCTCACACAGATGCCTTCGCTTGAGTGGATAATCTTTCTTTTTGCCAACATGGTCTCTTGACTTTTCCTTTCCTCTTGCACATTGGACACACCGTCAGAAATTCCTAGTACTAAATAAGTGAGGTGTGTCTCCCGGGAGTCTTCCTTGAGGCCTCTGGCACTGCTTGCGATGATGACCTGCTTTGCCAGCCTGTGTCCCTGTGCCTGGTTCTCCTGAATTTTGTGGAGACATCCCAAAGACTGGAAGAACTGAGTTTTCTTTCTTCATCCATTGGAATTGCATCTTCCAACATACCTCCAGGCTCCCCGGTGGGATGCCTCCTAGATAATTTCATATTCTTACACCTTGTGCCCGCTTTAAGGGTCTCTAGGCTTACACACTTCTGCATCCAAACTTGGCCTCAATTTCCTTAGATGACATATCCAAAGCAAAATCTTTTGAATTACTGTCAGAATTAAGGTAAATGGAAGTTTTTATGTTCAAGTTTCTTCTTTTGTTGCTGTTCGCTCTCCCAAAAGTTTAAACATACACCTGAAGGAATTTTCTTCATAACCTACTTAACTTTGTCTTCTGCCTATATATATGTTCCAATATCCTGCCAGACCCAGGTGTTTCCTATATCTACAACAGCACCAAAGCAGCTACCACAGGTGTTCCAGTCTGACCTCACAGACTTCCATCAAGCTGAACCTGCACTTTCCCTCCCAGCCACTGATGTTCTCACAGACCCTGGACAGCATCAAAACAGCCTGTTCTTCCTGGACTTGGCCAGCATTTCAGCCTTTTGACCTCCCAGAGTGCCCCCAGTGTCAGCAGGAAGTAGTCAGAAGAGAATCTCAGCCCATTATGTTATTCACTTATTAGTAACAAAAGGCTGGAATGGTGTGCTTCAGGCCCAGAACAAGTAGCTCCAGGTTCTCCCAGAATTCCTCAGTCCCTATCTGCTGTTGGGCATGGCTGGCAAACTCCACCCTCGACCCTGAACTTTCCAGGGCAGGGACTTCCTCTCCTCCTCACCATGTAATCTGTACATTTTGTTGTTATTATTCTCTCTCTCTCTCTTTCCGTCTCTCTCTCTTTCTCTCTCTCTCCCCCTTGCATGGCAACCAAGAGCTGCTTCCAGTGAACCTTCATTTATGTACTTTAACTTGTCTTATATGAAAAGCAGCACAAGCTCCTCATTTTTAATTAAAGAAAAATGGAGGAATGTTGTGTTGTGCAGGCAATTCAGCTGGCCTTCCCTTAGGGACCTTTAGGATCCTGACAATGTTCTATGTCAGTAACTGCGTCCTATGACATCATCTGGGCCAGGTACATGGTGACCTGTTGGCCACTCCCCCTTTCTCTTACTGTCTTGCTCTTGACCAATCCTCCTATCCCGCTCTCTTGCTCTTTCCCTCTCTCTGTCAGGATGCCACTCCCACCACCATGTCTCTCTCTCTCTCTCTCTCTCTCTCTCTCTCCTTTCTTTCTCCCTCTCCAACCAATAAACACCTTTCATATAATACCTGTTATGGTGCGTGGCATCATTTTTATATAAATACTAACACATACCATATGTGCCTTTTTTGGGTCTGCGTTACTTCACTCAAGATGGTCTTTTCTAGTTCCACCCATATGCCTGCAAATTTCCTGATTTCTTTGTTTTTAATAGCTGAGTAGTGCAATGTACCCCATTTTCTTTATCCATTCTACCTGTGAGGGACATCTAGGCTGTTTCCAGATTCTGGCTATTATGAATAAAGCTGTTATAAACATAGTAGAGCAAATGTCCTTGTGGTATGGTGGAATATTTTTTGGGTATATGCCTAGGAGTGGTATAGTTGGGGCTTGAGGTAGAGCTATTCCCAATTTTCTGAGAAAGCACCAGATTGATTTCCAAAGATTTTACTCCCACCTGGCTGGGTCTCTCAGCAGGCAGAGTCACTCTAGACAAATCCAACTACAGATGCACAGGCAGAAAATAATACATATATAATTATTTTTAACATTTATGTGGTGTATTTGCCCACTCTGTTATGCCATAATCAGCAGACTTCTGACTTATTAACGTGAAAAATTCCAGTGTTTTATTGTGTCAAAGGTTTCATGGTAAAGAGTTTGCCTATCTGACCATTTCCATAGATACAGTATAATATTGTCAACCATATGCAACAAATCCCCACATCTACCCCCATCATTTTATTTTGCATTTTCCTGATGATTAGTAACATTGAGCATCTTATTTCCTGCTATTTTTCTCTTGTTTTTTTTCTCCCTCCCTCCCTCCCTCCCTCTCTCTCTCCCTCTTTCTTTCTTTCTTTCTTTCTTTCTTCCTTTCGAAATACCTATTCAAGTCCTTGGCCCACTTTAAAACACAAAAAACTTCTTTATATATTCTAGATAGTAAGCCCTTCTCATATATTGTTTTCAAATATTTTCTCCCATTCTCAACTGGGTTAATTGTGTACTCTGCTGTGTAGGTGTTAGAGCTATGTAGTCTCATTTGTCTGGTTTTGCTTTTGTTATCTGAGCTTTGGGTATGACGCACTACCTATTACATTTGTCAGTGCCGGACTTCCCTTAAGGTAATGTGGTTGGGTTTTCCCCTTCATTTCCATTTCAGTGTTCTCTAGCAGATTGTTTAACAGTGCTGTTGGCTACCTGCTATTGGTTCCCTGAGAAGACACAGCCAGCTACCTTCATTTTTCTGGATTTGATCCCAAGCACAGTAATGGAAGGCCCATGTGATGTGAGAAGGGCTTGTTTTCTCTCTTTTTTGAGTGGAGCTCTTTAGAGTATCCTCTGGTGGTGGCGTCCTTCTCCCAGCTGCCTTTTAGTTGGGGGTGGTGCTCTTTGAGCCAATGATAGGTCAATAGGCAGGCTGAATCCAGACCAATAGGAGGCTCCTGAGTTCCAAATGAATCTTATTAGGGACATTGAATTCCTGGATGGCTTTATCTGCCTCATTGTTCTCTTGGTGATGACCCTCTTGTCTTGCTGGTCAAGGATCTAGAGGAGCAAACAAAACCTTAACCTCAGTTTTAGTGGGTTTATTCTCTCCGAAAACTTGTGCCCAGAGCCAATAGAACACAGCCATTCTCCCTTTGTAAAAAGAAAAAGGGGTTGGGTTTCCTTCAATTGTCTGTCCTTCTCTGTCTCCTCCACTATTTTTGTTTTACTTTCTAGTTAACTTTGAATAGAACAGCTTCACCAGTAGGACCTGTGCGGAGAATCCAGGCACACTCTTCTCATTGGCGGGTGCAAGGGCGTTTTCCTTGCTCCAATCTGGGGTTTGTGAAGGTAGTGGGGGTGGTGGGTAGGAGAAGAGTTTGGACACAATCTTCCTTTTGCACTTTACACACACTATCCACTCGCAGACTCACAACACACACACACACACACACACACACACACACACACACACACACACAC